CGAGTGTGCGACGGGTCTCAAAAGGGGTAGATTCATCCCCAAAGAGAGGACAAGGATATCAACTTCTAGCCAGCGTTCAAACTCATGACGTCACGAGACGATATATGGTTCGTCCTTGCATTCGTCGCGAAAATTCGGTTCAAGTTAGCCCCCCCCCCCACTGAATTTTTTTAAATGAAACATATCCCATAGTTTTGCTCGCATTTTGTTCCATTTTGCTTCAATTATAGTTTTTGCTCCACTACAGTGGAGAGAGTATGTGGTCTATTAAGTGGGGGACGCAAAATTAACGTTAGGGGGAGTTAGGAGAGGATTCTAAAATGAGCGAGAATAAGATGAGCATAACATAACTCCGACATTTTCACTGGGGAGGCTGGTAGAGATTCTTGGGAGCTCTCCTATCTCATTCCGGGTAACAGAGCAAAATTCGATGATCATGGAGTAAAACTTGAAGGATAAAATGAGCATAAAAAAACTTTCAAGCTCTGTCTGGGGGGGCTAGGAGAGATTTTTGGGAGCTCTGTAGCTCATTTCAGGTAATGGAGCAAAACTCGCCGATCATGGAGCAAAATGGAGCAAAGTTCGGAGATTAAAATGAGCATAAAAAAACTCCGAAATTTTCATTGAGGGGGGCTGGGAAAGATTTTTAGGATCTCTGTAGCTCATTCCAGGTAATGAAGCAAAACTCTCCGATCATGGACCAAAATCGCGAGCAAAACTTGGAGAATAATGCCCGTATTACATCTGTGTATTTTTCGAAAGGAATGAATGCGTGAAGTCGCGGAGCTGTTCCGGAGCTCCTCCTAGGTGTGAAAGGAATACTACTATTATGACAGTAGGAACCCCAGCCACGATTGCGCACCGATTCTGTTTTTGAATCGAATCACGGCGCATCACGCTTCACAGAGCTTGGCTGGGATTACGACAAGTAGAATTCCACTAAAATTCTACTTTCATGACGTCAGGTTATCTAGCAACACTTAGCAACAGTGATCATCGCCTCTAGTGTATCGATAAATAGGTCGCCCGTGACGTCATGAAAATAGAATTCTACTTGTCGTGATCCCTCTGCTTTCGGGTGCCACCCTTTGAGCGCTCGTGAGTTACTCCGAAGTACTCTGGCTACAGTTTTACTCGTTCGGTTTCAAGCGTTCGAGTGCAAAACGTATGAAGTATGACAGGTGTGAAGTGTTCTTGGAGCTTCGCACTCTGCACCCGAAAGCGGCTCGGCGGTTGAGTTCGGAATGTGGATTTTAGTGTTGTGCCAGTGCGATGTTCGTGTAGTGCAGGGTTATATCACGTGATAAAGGTGTAACACCGAATACAAATACTTCGTCATTTCCTACCGAGTAAACGGTGTCCCACCATCTTTACACTATTCGGGCACCAAATTATTTCTAAATAATTCTAAACGCGAATAAAGTGTATACCAAATTTACTCCTACCAATTAGCAAAGGCCACAGTGTCAATAGTGTAAAAAGTGTCGACACTTTTTACCATTCGGAACTCACCTACGGTTCGCGTTCACATACCGCTGCGCTGACCGCTCACTTCGCACCTGCCTTGGCAAACGCAAATGGCTGCAAGGAGAAACACTGCGTCGCCAAATGCCAAAGTTCGAGCCAGATTTGTCTCTTTCGTACTTAAAGCTACTCGTTGGCTCCCCTTTATCAAGTTTGGCTCTTTTTAAACTCAGACAACTACTTAATATTTAATAATTCACAAATGAAAGGCCGACTGGATACCTAAAATCAATTTACAAATTCAAATTTCCCTCTGAAACAGGAAACTGTTCTACCTGTTAATTTTACACAAACCGACACTTTTTACACCAAACTTGTACGTATATTATGGTTCTATCAGGGCCAATAAGGGGTCAATTAAAACCGAATTTTCGCGACGAACTACTTGCATGATTTCATGAAAGCAAACGCTTGCAAACGCTTTCGCGAGATGACGTCATATTGAACGTAGTTCGCCGGAAGCAAAGACGCCAGCGTTCAAACTCATGACGTCAGAAGACGATATATGGTTTGTCCTTGGATGAACTACATTCGCCGCGAAAATTCGGTTCAAGCTAGCCCCCCCACTGAATTTTTCTAAACAAAACATATCCCATAATTTTGCTCCTATTTTGCTCCATTTTGCTCCAATTATAATTTTTGCTCCACTACAGTGGAGGGAGTATGTGGCCTATTAAGTGGGAGCGCCAAATTAACGCTAGCTCTCCAACACCCCCCCCCCCCCCCCCCCCAGTGGAAATTTCGAAGTTTTTTATGCTCATTATAATCTCCAAGTTTTGCTCCATGATCGGCGAGTTTTGCTCAATCACCTAGAATAAAGTACAGAGCTTCCAAGAATCTCTCCCAGCCTGCCCCAGTCAAAATTTCGGAGTTTTTTCATGCTCATCTTGTTCTCAAAGTTTTGCTCCATTTTGCTCCTTGATCGTAAAGTTTTGCACCATTACTTGGAATGAGCTACAGAGCTCCCAAAAAGCTTTCCTAGCCCCCCTCAACAAAAATTTCAAAGATTATTTATGCTCATTTTATTCTCCAAGTGTTGCTCCATTTTGCTCCATGATCTGCGAGTTTTGCTCCATTACCTGGAATAAGGTACAAAGCACCAAGCACCCAAAAATCTCTACCAGCCCCCAGCCCCCCCCCAGTGAAAATTTCTTTTTTTTTTATGTTTATGTTATTCTCCAAGTTTTGCTCGAGATTTTGGTCCATGATCGGAGAGTTTTGCTTCATTACCTGGAATGAGCTACAGAGATCCTAAAAATCTTTCCCAGCCCCCCTCAATGAAAATTTCGGAGTTTTTTTATGCTCATTTTAATCTCCGAACTTTGCTTCATTTTGCTCCATGATCGGCGAGTTTTGCTCCATTACCTGAAATGAGCTACAGAGCTCCCAAAAATCTCTCCTAGCCCCCCCAGAGAGAGCTTGAAAGTTTTTTTATGCTCATTTTATCCTTCAAGTTTTGCTCCATGATCAACGAATTTTGCTCTGTTACCCGGAATGAGATAGAGAGCTCCCAAGAATCTCTACCAGCCTCCCCAGTGAAAATGTCGGAGTTATGTTATGCTCATCTTATTCTCGCTCATTTTAGAATCCTCTCCTAACCCCCCCTAACGTTAATTTGGCGTCCCCCACTTAATAGACCACATACTCTCTCCACTGTAGTGGAGCAAAAACTATAATTGAAGCAAAATGGAACAAAATGCGAGCAAAACTATGGGATATGTTTCATTTAAAAAAATTCAGTGGGGGGGGGGCTAACTTGAACCGAATTTTCGCGACGAATGCAAGGACGAACCATATATCGTCTCGTGACTTCATGAGTTTGAACGCTGGCTAGAAGTTGATATCCTTGTCCTCTCTTTGGGGATGAATCTACCCCTTTTGAGACCCGTCGCACACTCGTTATTTTGGGATTTTATTATAAGTTACATCCCAAAGAACATTTCTTAACAAGTTTGGTAGTGTAGCAAAATTTTTTTCATAATTTAGTATTTTCCTCTGGGGTTGAATCAACCCCCTTCAGCCCCATCGCGCACTCTTTATTTTGGGATTTTATGATTAGTTACGTCCTAAAGAACATTTTTAAAAATGTTTGGTGATGTAGCAAAATTTTTTTCAGAAGTTAGTAGTTTTTCCCTATCTTTGGGGTTGAATCTACCCCCTTCAGCCCCATGGCGCACTCTTTATTTTGGGATTTTTAGATTAGTAACGTCCTAAAGAACATTTTTAAAAATATTTGGTGGTGTAGCAAAATTTTTTTCAGAAGTTAGTAGTTTTTCCCTATCTTTGGGGTTGAATCTACCCCCTTCAGCCCCATCGCGCACTCTTTATTTTGGGATTTTATGATTAGTTACGTCCTAAAGAACATTTTTAAAAATGTTTGGTGATGTAGCAAAATTTTTTTCAGAAGTTAGTAGTTTTTCCCTATCTTTGGGGTTGAATCTACCCCCTTCAGCCCCATCGCGCACTCTTTATTTTGGGATTTTATGATTAGTTACGTCCTAAAGAACATTTTTAAAAATGTTTGGTGATGTAGCAAAATTTTTTTCAGAAGTTAGTAGTTTTTCCCTATCTTTGGGGTTGAATCTACCCCCTTCAGCCCCATCGCGCACTCTTTATTTTGGGATTTTATGATTAGTTACGTCCTAAAGAACATTTTTAAAAATGTTTGGTGATGTAGCAAAATTTTTTTCAGAAGGTAGTAGGTTTTCCCTATCTTTGGGGTTGAATCTACCCCGTTCAGCCCCATCGCGCACTCTTTATTTTGGGATTTTCAGATTAGTAACGTCCTAAAGAACATTTTTAAAAATGTTTGGTGATGTAGCAAAATTTTTTTCAGAAGTTAGTAGTTTTTCCCTATCTTTGGGGTTGAATCTACCCCCTTCAGCCCCTTAGCGCACTCTTTATTTTGGGATTTTATGATTAGTTACGTCCTAAAGAACATTTTTAAAAATATTTGGTGGTGTAGCAAAATTTTTTTCAGAAGTTAGTAGTTTTTCCCTATCTTTGGGGTTGAATCTACCCCCTTCAGCCCCTTAGCGCACTCTTTATTTTGGGATTTTCAGATTAGTAACGTCCTAAAGAACATTTTTAAAAATGTTTGGTGATGTAGCAAAATTTTTTTCAGAAGTTAGTATATTTTCCCTATCTTTGGGGTTGAATCTACCCCCTTCAGCCCCTTAGCGCACTCTTTATTTTGGGATTTTATGATTAGTTACGTCCTAAAGAACATTTTTAAAAATATTTGGTGGTGTAGCAAAATTTTTTTCAGAAGTTAGTAGTTTTTCCCTATCTTTGGGGTTGAATCTACCCCCTTCAGCCCCTTAGCGCACTCTTTATTTTGGGATTTTCAGATTAGTAACGTCCTAAAGAACATTTTTAAAAATGTTTGGTGATGTAGCAAAATTTTTTTCAGAAGTTAGTAGTTTTTCCCTATCTTTGGGGTTGAATCTACCCCCTTCAGCCCCTTAGCGCACTCTTTATTTTGGGATTTTCAGATTAGTAACGTCCTAAAGAACATTTTTAAAAATGTTTGGTGATGTAGCAAAATTTTTTTCAGAAGTTAGTAGTTTTTCCCTATCTTTGGGGTTGAATCCACCCCCTTCAACCCCGTCGCACACTAGTTATTTTGGTATTTTATTATTATCAACGTTTCAAAGAGTATTCAAAAAAAAAGTTTGGTGTTACAGAGATTTTTGTAGAAGTAGGTAAAAATATGTATTCATTCCAATTTCCAATAGACTTTGATATTAGGGTTGAATTTATTTTTTTCATCCCTTCGGCGGAATTTCGAAGTCTTATCTATAAAGAGGGTACACCCTAGTACCTATTTTCACAAAAAATATTCTAAATTTTGACCACCGAAGCTAATAATTACCTACTATTTATAATTACACATATTAATTTGCACTACTTATTTGGACGACTGTAAAAATTTGATTTTCGTTTCTGATTCTGTGGCTAACTTCCACGACATAAAAACACCACAAAAATTATAAATCAAAAACGCTGCCCTGCATCAGTGAAACAATACAATACAATAAAATAAAACAAAATGGCTACGCTCACAACTCTACGGCAAAAAATACTGTGCTCGCGCAAATTGGCACATTTCTTTACAGTAACTGCGCTAACATTTTACAACAGTTGTTGCATCAATATGCGCATGGGAGATCGAAATAATCTATCGCTTTTCCAATACAAAATCTGCAAAGCCGCTGCATATCAAATACTGCACTTCTAAAATACAGTATTACCAATACAAGTTCTGCGCAGCATCGATAAAACTATTTATGTGCTGTATTTGGGCTGTGTTCGTGATACAGCAACATTACAGCGCCGATAAGTTGTGTTTGTTGGGATGTAGTCGTCGTCACAACGACCGTTCAGTAGGAAAAACCCGTTTAAGTCCATAATGTCAATCAAACTTCGACCCCTTGCGTTAATTAGCCTGTCTAAACTAGACCTAGCGGGACGCAGCCCCGAACCCTCCAGGACCTCTGGGCAGACATCGCCAAGATTACCAACTCTGCTATTAAAATCACCTGAAATAATCCAGGGGCTTTGCGGGTCAAACGCTGCGTCCTCGAATAAAGTTTCCTGGAATAAAGGTAATGCATACTCGAAATCCAAATTTGGCTTAAAATAGATACTGCACAAGTATAGCGAGCATAAATTAAAACTAACTCTACAGATTATCCACCAAGGGGTAAGGTTAAGTAGATCCAAACTTAAAGAATTCTTTTTTTTTTTAATTGGAAGAAACACCAATGAAGTCAATAAAATAAGAAAATAAACAGAGTTCATTCACAAAACAATCACAAAATGCACTTTAAAAAGCTTTAATAATGAACTTCCGCTACAACGCACTTTTTGACAGGTCGTTGGAATGCCTAATTGAGTTTGACAAGTGTGACCTATAGTGACTCTATTACCCACAGTGACGACAATTGCTGTCTTATTTTTGATTGGTTCTAAAATCCCATATATTTATATTGCAAACGCCGCCATCTTGTGTTCACCTATTGCTTATTTCAAATCTGAATATATGGGATTTAGGTGAACATGAAACATGGAAAACAACGTATTTGCTGGACCTAATAATGGTCATCAAATACGTCGCTTTCAATTTTTTATGATAGATGTCCATTTAAATCCTATATATTAATATTTAGAAGTAACAAGAGGTTGGGAACAAAATGGCGGCGGGACCTCTATTGTCGCCACTGTATGTGAAGGTTTATTTACCCACAATAGCCACTATATCAGAATTATGCTTGATAATTAACTGGACGTAGCTTGACAAGTGATCGATTTTCAATTGTTTGTGTTTTTGATTGACAAATACGTTGCACGTCACGCGGTTTTCCTCCTTCTCTTTTTATCCCATATAAATAATAAGAAGGGATTGCTATACATAAGTCTTAGATGGTTTAGTACGTTTTGCCTCGTCTTGCGCAATAAGCGTTCTGCGTCTTTTCCTATCTAATAAAGTTTTCGTATTATTACCTCTTTGTCTGCTAAAATAAGAGCGGGTATATGGCGATTCGATCGTGCGCTGGGTCAGTGCGAATTGTCAAAAAAAGTGAACTGGCTTCGTGAAAATCCGAGTTGAAGCGTTCGTGTGTGCCCCATTATTGCACTTTTTAAGAAAAAAAGCCATAAGTATTTAATTCATCATCGTCACTTTTTGAGCTACTGCTACTACTATTTGATGATAATACATCTGCAGCTAAACAATAATTTCCCCTTTTTATTATTCATATTTCACAAACTTTTTTGTAAACAAACATTCAAAAAATTTGAGGTAATTTTTTCAAAGAATCCAGTGCAATCTACTTGAACCGCCAAAAATTACAGTTCCAAAAAGTTCGAACGCTGGACGAACCACGCTAACAATCCGAACATAAAGTATTGCTCTGCCCGCGCTTAGCTCGGGTAGTCGAACACGAGAAATATTTGCTCGCTTATGAGCTAAATCAACCCGAACATAAATTATTGCACTGCACTCGCAAAATTGCAAAATGCGAGCCGAGTGCTCACTAGTAGCCGGTAGTCGAATACACTGAGAAAAAAAATAGGCTGTTATAACTAAAAATTTAGTAAATGTAACTAGAAGCGTGGATAGCATAGAGGACAGGTCAAAAATTTAGTTGCAACGGCAAATATGAATTAGTTCGTACGACATACGACTTTCGAGGTTATATCAACTAATATTTTAGTTAGCCGCAAACATTTATTCTTAACCTGAAAACTTGTTGCAGCAACTATTATTTCATAGTTGTCCGGAGTTATTCAAGCTATAATTTTGTATTGGTGTAACCAGTATAATTAACAATGATAACTCATTTTCTTAGTTGACTTTGCCTTCTTGCTTAGCACTGGCAACTAAAAAGTATTTGTCATAATAGCATGGAAACTAGTTATACCAGCAATCATTTTTGGTTTACCAAAAAATATCGAAATTCAACAATTTATAACTACCACAATAACATTAAGGTGAATATTGTATTTATTCAAATAAATTGCTGAAGTCGCATATTTTTTTGTAACCTTAAAATTCTTGCAAAAAATACCTACGATGTCGTTTTTTTTGAATTTTAAGTTTATAAAAAATATGCGAATTCAGCAATTCGTAATTAAATAAACACAATATTCATCCTAAGGTTATTGTGGTAGTTACAAATTGTTGAATTTCCATATTTTTAAGTAAAATCAATAGAAATATAAAAATACAAACATATTGTTTTTAATAATTATTTTTATTCCAAAATATAGTAGTACATCTGAGTATGAGGATAAACACAAAATAAATTCTTAATGTAAACAATTTTCTAAGAGAAAAAACATGTATAATGTTGATATTAACTCGCGATTCAACTTCATAAATCAGTTTCTTATACTAACTAGTCAACTATAAACATGTGGCAAGTGGTTTCTATTGTCAATTATTATTTTTTCAATACACTGAATTCACAGTACACGAGCACATCACCAAACACGACGTTTTCTGCGTTTTCCCGAACTCCGAAATCGACAATCGAATTCTGAGCATCAATTGACCGTTTGAGGGGACAGACTGAATACACGCAGGCGACTCGTGGCCAAGTACGGAGACAAAAACAAGATCGGCACTGGTGGGGAAATGAGCGCTGCATTCTATTGTTCCGTACAATTAACTAAGAAATACTAGTTGTGAGAACTAGGTTGCTGCAACTGGTTTTTTAGTATTAATAGGTACATATTTTGGTTATTTTTTATTTAACCAGCTTAATTAGTAATCACAACATGTTGTAACAACCAAAATTATAGTTAGCTATGTTTTAACATCAATTTTTAGTACTTCGAACTGATTATGTCAGTTAAGATGATTTCCAAGGTACAACTAATTTGAAATGGCTTCAATAATAAAAACAGAGTGGTCGTGATAACTATTTTTCTAGTAATGACTACTATAAAAATTCAACCCACGTGCTTAGTTAACGCGTTTTTCTCAGTGTACGCCATAATATTAGGAGCCGTGCTGTGTTTCACTCAATGCCTTTCACAAAAATTTGGGGGGGGGGCAACTAGACGCTTAGCCCCCCTGTTTTTTTGATTATTTTATCTAGCCAAAGGAAAAGTCAATGCAACTTTCAGTGTAGTGTGCTGAACTGCGCTGCTAGTATTTTCAGCTCAGTTTTTCATTTAACCCTCGTTTCTCTCAAAAATCCCTATGGCGGTGCCAACTTGACGCTCAGCCCCCCCGTTTTTTCGATTATTTTATTGAACAAAAGCAAAAATCAATGCAACTTTCAGTGTGCTGAACTGTGCTGCTAATATTTTTAGTACAGAGCCGCTTTCCAGTATGGGAGTGTGACGCCCGGAGCTACTCGGGGCTTGAACCCCCGAGCTGTTCGTGCGCGTCAACCTATCAGCTGTCACATCTGTGGGTGGCTATTTATCTATTTATTTCTTGTTATATCTCAAGATTGAACATTTTAAAATATATAGTTTTGATTCTCTTTCATTTATGATAAATAAAAAAACAAACTGCACAAACAAACAGATAATTATTTTTAAAATTTGACATATTTGACACTAACACAGGCGTCTCACGCCATGATACTGGAACGGTACAAATCTAGTGCGTGGCGCCCCCGAGGTGCTCTGGAGCGCGCCAATGTGCATACTGGAAAGCGGCTCAGTTTTTTGTTTAACCCTCGTTTCTCTCAAAAAACCCTATGGCGGGGCCAACTTTACACTCAGCCCCCCCGTCTTTTCGATAATTTTATTAAATAAAACCAAAAATAAATTTTCAATTTACTGAACTGTGCTGTAAATATTTTCAACTTAGTTTTTCGTTTGACCCTCGCTTTTCTCATGGCGGGGCCAACTTGACGCTCAACCCCCTCATTTTTTGGATTAGTTTATCAGACGAAAGTAAAAATGAATACAACTTTTAGTGTGCTGTATATAGTTGGTAAAACATGTTGGGGGCTTTGTCGAATGTTCCGTCTCCATAGATTATAGCCTTATCCAATTCTCGCAGCAATTCTCCATTCCCAATTACCAAAATCCTTTCTTGATCGTCCGCTCCTGTGTCGTGCAGAATCAAGTCCGCATAATTTTCATGGATCCGAAAATTTGTTGTGGTCGGATTCGGAATATGAGCCGTTTTCTTGTGGTTGAAAAGATTTCTGGTCAAGGAAGATTGCTTTGGCAAATGTTCCAATACATCGCAACTTAGGTTGGTTAATACATGTCCCAATACATTTGTTGGAGTTGCACCAACTGCCTTCATGTCACGCTTCAATAAGGCCTTAATAATATTAGCCTGAGCTACTTGCGGTTTGGAATCATGACAATGTTGTGGAACCTCACCAATTATGTTGTCTTCTTGGGATCTCAAAAAGGCCTTACACTTGGTAGAATAGTAGATTCTGCACCTCCACATGATGACTCCACTTTTGTTTTCTCTGTACTTCGTATATTCATACCCTTGGTACACAAGAACCCTATTTCCCTTCTGCGTGACAGAATATTCCATTGCAATGATAGGTGAAATAAAGATTAAACACAAAATACACAGAAAAAAACAATTTTACAATTAGATACACAACAGTTCAAATGAAATTCGAAAACTCGACTGAAGAATAAAAGTTGACTACTCAAATTTATATTCAAACTGAACTAACCTGAACAATTGAATAATATGGGAGTAATTGTGTTTTCTTTGTTACATTTTTAAACTTTAACCAAAACCCACCGATCTCATTAACATACAATCCCTCTCAACAAAGTTATATTTTCCTAACATTAATATTCTCAGAAACTAATTACCTACTTTTAACATCAAGCAATAAGACCTAAGTTATTCAGGCCCCTTTCAACAAAGACCCATATAACTAAAGCTGTTCTATTCGCGAACCGAAATCGGCGTGCTCAGGTTGCAGAATCTCTTGTACTAGAGTTAGATGGTGCAAATCTTACCTTTTCTAACGACCTTAGAAGTCTTGGTTTGAACATCGATACCTTTCTTAGATTTGGGGTGCATGTTGGTATGATTTTGCAGAAGTGCTACTTACGTATGCGTATGCTCTATGCAAACAAAAGTGTTTTAAATTATAAAACTAGGAAAAAACTTTGTGAATCACTTGTTTTGTCAATTATTGACTATTGCATGATTGTGTATTATCCTTGCTTAGATGGAGTTGCCAAGTGTCGTTTGCAGAGAGTACAGAATACATGCTGCCGTTTTATATGTAACTTAAGAAAATTCGACCATGTGTCGCAACATATTTATGACTTAAATTGGCTAAAGATCTTTGGTTTATTTAGACTGCAGTATCTGACTTTTTTGTATCGCTTACTTAAAACTCATCAGCCTAACTACCTTCACGAGAAATTGATTTTCAGAAACTTAATACATGATCGTCCTCTAAGATTTAATCTGCTTACGATTCCACACCACTCTACTGCCCTATTCGAACGATCTTTCACATATAACGCTGTAAGTCTTTACAATAAATATAAACCTGATTTATTGACTTTGTCTCTTAATTCATTAAGAAAAATGATAAAAACTATACTAATGGAAGCACAGGTTGCGTAGTGATGCTGGGATGTTTTTTGTTTTTTTTTTGTTTTGATTCTTTTGTTTCATTTATTCATATTATTTTATTACTGTTTTGTTTCGATATTTATTTCCAATTTATATCTTTAAGCACTGGCATAGAATTTTCTCCTTCTCTTTTTTTTTTTTCCTTTTCTTGCATAAGATGTTAAATTAAATGTTATTTTATTTATATATTTGTTCTTATAATGTAAACTAAGAAGGTTAAGAGTTAAAGAATAGCTTAAAGCTAATCTTCGCCTTCTTGGGGCAAATTTTTGTAAAGAATTTGCTGAATAAAGACGATTTATTATTATTATTATTATTATTATTATTATAACATAACTAAAACATTGATATTCTCGGAAATTAAGTATAAATAAGTCCTGTTTGAGTTATTTAGCTATTATAATTTCACTTCTCTTAAGGGAAAATATAGGATTTAGAAAAAAAATCTATGCCAGACAGGGTTTTTTTCTAAAATTCATCTCGTTCAAACCTACAATTAAAGAAAAAAACGATTTTCAATTTTTCCCCTTAACACCCCTAACTCCCTTAATATGCATTTTACGACCCATGTTTATAGGAATTTTTTAAACCAGTTTTATGAGTACTATCACCCCCCAAATTTCTTTACACCATTTCAATGACACCCTACATGAGTAAAAAAATATTCATTAAAGTTCAATAACTAGATACCTATTTTTTGTTTTTCATCCTTTATTATTTCCAGTTGTTCTTATTTTTCAGAGTTCTGTTTTGTCAAGGTTCTCTTATTTCAGTGTTCTCTATTTTCTCGGTTCTGTTATGTCATAGTTCTCTTTTTTCCTTGTTCTGTTTTATCACTGTTCTGTTTTTTCACTGTTCTGTTTTTTCATGTTCTGCTTTTTCACGTTCTGTTCATTCATGTTCTGTTATTTCATGTTCTGTTCCGTCCGGTTTCCGTGCTGTTCATGTTAATCATGTTTTTAACTTAGTTTTTCGTTTAACCCTCGTTTTTCACAACAAATGCTATGGCGGGCCGAGGGCGGGCCCAACTTGCTGCTCAGCCCCCCTATGATCCCATATACATGACATACAAAATTATTCCACCCAAAACATATTGTTGGTCATGAAAATAAATATTCTATGGAATATCTGCCAAACGAATAGTAGGGATTTTTGGAATATGCTTTGTATTTGTATTTGCTTTTGTTTGATAAAATTATCGTAGAAACAGGGGGGCTATAAGCGTCAAGTTGGCCCCGCCATAACATTTATTGAGAAAACGAGGGTTAAACGAAAAACTGAACTAAAAACATTAGCAGACAGTTCAGCACACTGAAAGTTGCATTGATTTTTGCCTTTGTTTAATGAAATAATTGAAAAAACGGGGAGGCTGAGCGTCAAGTCAAGTTGGCCCCGCAATAGCATTTTTTATGAAAACGAGGGTTAAACGAAAAACTGAACTAAAAATATTAGCAGCACAATTCAGCACACTGAAAGTTGCATTGATTTTTGCTTTTGTTCGATAAAATAATCGAAAAAACGGGGGGGCTGAGCGTCAAGTTGGCCCCGCCATAGCATTTTTTGAGAAAACGAGGGTTAAACGAAAAACTGAACTAAAAACATTAGCAGCGCAGTTCAGCACACTAAAAGTTGCATTGATTATTGCTTTTGTTCAATGAAATATTTGAAAAAACGGGGGGAGGGGGGGGGCTGAGCGTCAAGTTGGCACCGCCATAGGGATTTTTGAGAGAAACGAGGGTTAAATGAAAAACTGAGCTGAAAATACTAGCAGCGCAGTTCAGCACACTACACTGAAAGTTGCATTGACTTTTCCTTTGGCTAGATAGCATTAATTCCTGCTTTTGTTCGATAAAATAATCGAAACAACGGGGGGGCTAAGCGTCAAGTTGGCCCCCCTCAAATTTTTGTGAATAGCATTAAGTGCAACTCAGCACAGTTCCTAATATTAGCAGCACAGTAAAGCACACTGGGAGCACAGTTAATTATTACAAAAAAAAAATAAAGGCGGGGCTAACTTGACGGATCCGGTTTTAACTCCAGAGTAAGTGTGTCCAGTTGCTAAGTTTGCCCCGGAGTTATGCTTAATCCGGGGGTGACTCGCTATTGAGAAACCGGTCCTAAGAACCTTAGCTATGGTTAAGAAATTTAGCACCTGTGCCGCACCAGGGCCAATGGAATTCGCTAATTCGCTATTACTGTACAAAATCCAGTCATCGTCCGAGTGAAATCTCGAACCCTTCCCATTCTTGCAACTTCTCCAAGGAGAAAACACACTGCACAGGATAGCCTATCCTCAAGGCTTCTAGAGTTCAAATCTCAAGCCCTCCACCCCACCCCAAAGTACCAGTGATGACGTGGCAGCGTGTCGTTTCTTGTTTTGACGTAGAGTGTTTGCACCACAGATCATTCCGCTGCCTTTTGCTTTATGCATATGTGGTTTTAGTACATACATTAATCAACATTCTAAAACAACTCTTTTTTAGATCTTGTTTGCATCTTCCTCTTTGCCTATTAGTGTAATTAAAATCAAATAATAATTTTCATCGCAAATGTATGCTAAACTACGACCACTGGCGCAAATAGCTAAATACAAAGTTGATGACGTCGCAACGGTGCAATACCACGCAATACCATATGACCTTGATTCCAAAAATCGAGGCCGATGAATAATGATTTTCTTATATTATCCCAATCTTATTAATAAATTAATCATATCTTCAATTCCATTATTCAAATTATCGACCGCTTTATTGCTCTCGCATATCTGATGATGCTGATGATTTCAAATCTTGTAAACTTTCGATAGCTTTCTGTCATTCTGTCGTCTTGTTCTTGTTCTTAAGCCGCACACTGCACCTGGTAAAGCTGTCGTCGTCCGTTGGTGATAATTTCCATATCAACGCTCTTAAAGCAATAAGCGCTCAGTTTTGTTTTGAACCTGGCGGAAGAGTCTCTTATCAGCCACGCAATACTACAATCACAATCTCCTCAGCCTATTAAGCCATGTTATCAGAGCTTCAACCATTATCATTTGCACTCTCAGTCTCAGGCAACAGTCTCAAACTGACGCCTGTACATCGCGCACGATGTTTCACCGTCGTATGTTGATGGCTTAACTTTTTTAAATACGGCTTGCAAGCGATCTTGAGGCATGATTTCGCAAGTTAAATCCAAGTTTTTAATTTTGTCCTCAACATTATCGATTTCTTGGCGGAAATTTCTATCTTCCTGACAAAATCTTTCAAATTCTTCGCCCATACTACTTCTTCGATTGCATTTGCGGTTTGAATCCGTTCCCGCTGAAATTTAACATTTTCCTGAAGTCGGTTACGTTCTTGCCTCTTTTATCTTCTATTCGGGTTTTTTATAAAAATGAAGTCCACCAACATCCGATCGACTTGCTACTTGCTCCATTGACCATATTTCGGCTGTTTGCTGCAGTGAGTTTGCTTCGCTGTCGTCTACATATTTAGTATTTACCATAAAATGATCAAATTTCAAATTTGTATCTTTGTATCTTTCTCTATGATCTTCCTATTCTTCCTAGAATAAAACGATTAACAACAAGAGGGCTCTTTTATTTTATCAATTTACCGTAAAGATAAGGAAAACCAATCTTTGACCTATATTTTACCTAATGACCGGCATTTTACCCAGTGGCTGATCAGCATTATATTTTGAAAAATAATCTCTCAAATTTAATTTATGTTTGGTCAAAGATTAATCTGTGTATACTTTATGGTCTTTAAAAAAATTAAAAATCACTATTTCAATTATAGAATTTTTAAATTTATAAGAAAAAAATAGGCAATGACAACATTGTCTGTCCTTGT